TTTGGAATTTAGTTTCATTTGCTAAAGTAAAGAAAAATGAACACAAGGCAATAGGGAAGATTGTCTTAATTTTTCGTCAACCTGACTCTCGCCCATTCAGAGACGACGTTCATGATTAAATTGCTGGGTCGGAAGTGTTTTAACAAAATGTTGTCTTGGCTTTACTCTTTTGTCTGCAGGAGAAAATGCCATTTTCTGAAGCTTACACACCACCCAGAGAGTAAGCTAGCAAGCCTTTTTTTTTTTTCTTTCCTTTCCCCCCCTTAAAGATGTAATGTGGACAATGTTTTATTGAGATAATTGAAATTTCCGGATGCAGCGTGCTCTTATCCCACCATGTTAATCAGGATTCGTTTGTGGGTTCAACATGTAACATGAACATTTCGTTCTCTAGCATGGAGGCACTGCGTGGCGCAAGATTTTCTCTAGAAGATCTTGTAGAACCTATTGCGTTGGATGAGGCTGAAGATTCACAATTGCATGATAAGCTCTCTAACAAGGATATCACGACTAGTATACCCGAGAAGACTAATGATATGGTGTCAGATTCTTTTGCTAGCTTACCAAGTGATAGTAAGCCTGATTTGGCACCAAGTTTAGAGAGACTCAGGGAAAATTTGTTTACTTTAGAAGACCGTCTGGATCCCATGGTAATGTCTGAACTTGAAACAGAGGATATAAGTCCAAGGTTTTGTGGACCAGTTCAAAATCCTGCAAATATATCTCCTCAAAGAACCGATTCAATAGCAAGTTTGGGAACAGTTCACAAAGATAGTTTCAAAATGTTGGATGAAGCAGAAAAGCGACAAGTCAACAATGGGCCATCTGAAAAACAGCATGAAGTTGTCATTGAAGACAATAATTGCGAGAGTCAGTCGTATTTTCAGGAGGGTGAACCACCTGGTTCCTTAACTGGATCAGTTGATAAACCACAGCCTACAGGCTTGAACAAGTTGAAATCTTTGGAGGTGGTTACCCCAGAGAGCATGACGAGCCAAAAACGAAAAGAATTTCCCATGTCTATTGTAACTCCAGACCCAAAGCTTCCACGTGATTACTTTGCATTTTATTTAGTAAATTCTTCATGCGGATACTTTCTTTATGATTGATTAGCGTCTGTACATGATACCAAAAAGAACTGCATGCTGTATTATGGATTGTGGTCCATATTTGCGCATTCCTGACCATTTTTTACTCTGTTTGGAGGAACAATTATGTAATTTTCTTCGTACTAGTATATACGTGCAGTATCATAACTTTCCATTTTTATTGTTTTATTCATAAGCATTTTTTTTTTTTTTTATTTGTCATGAGCTGTTTATAGCTTTTGTATTCCATTGGAATTTGCATGTATGCTTATATCCAAATTTTGCTTCTTCAGAAATAGGTTCGAGTAAACCTGAGGTTGCAACTGTTCAGACTCCTGCCAGAAAGGAGTGTCCGAAAATTCTGAAGCGGAAGTCGAAGATATTGTTTGATGAGACAATTGTGGTCTCTAATACGTATGTCTCCAGAACTCGTTGTTATATGAAATATCCCCTAAACCTTAAAATGTAACAGAGCAGATGTATTACAATATGTGATAACAAAATTCTTGGTCACTTGATCTACAATTTCTTCACAGGGTATCTTATTTTGGATGAGAGATTCTAATGGCTTGCATTTACTTTAGAAGTTTGTCGATTGTTTTTTATTGTAGAGTATTCAGAAGCTGGATAGATGATCCAACTGATCTAAAACGTCAGAAAAAAGACTCTCCTCACACTCTTTTACATGCCTGGAGAGCTCGTAAACTTGCTTCTATTACTCAAAGTTTCGTGGAGCCTTCAATTCCTGGTAAATGCACACCATAATTGATGTAATATGATATTTTACTGGACTTTCAAGTAAAATTCAAGTTTCAACACCTTATATATTTATATATCATGCATATGCAGTCATCTCTGCAGATCTCTGTGACCTCGAACGGAAATGGAGCAATTTTGCAGCCATTAAATTGGTGGAATTATCCATGGACCAAGATGAATGCATCAAATCTCCGGTTGCCCATGTGGATTGTGAACAAGTTGGTGGTGATGTAATAATATCTCAAGAACAACCTCCTATTGCTCCAGGTACACCTGTGACTCATCTGAAGTCAGTGAGATCGTCACATGAGGCAGGGGCAGATGCCGATTCAAACATCCTGGAACCCACCTCCTCGTCTGAAAGTGTTGAGAAAATCCCATATGCAAATCAAATGCTAGAAGCAGACTTTGAATTCCAAGAGGTACTATGTTCTAGTTGCTGTTTAGCATTCGCATACTACCCAGTAACACATTCATGCATGGAAGTGGGGTTTATTTTTATTTTTTTTCATGGCTTTCGGGTTCTAGTGGTTGATCATAAAGACTGTTTCTTTGCTCATGGTGGATGTATAAAATTTTCTGATCTGTGTAGTATTAGAGTTAAAGAGTCTTCAAGTGTTAGTTTGCTTCGACCCTTGAAGGAGATATGTCTGAAACTAACATGTTTATTATCAGGACACAAGTTCATTCCAAGGAGATAACCAGGGAGAAGGCAAGTGTGTACAATTTTATTTATACATTTTAAAAGCTGGAAATTTTGGTTAAATGTAAACTACTACTTTTCGCTAACCGATATTCTTTGATTTCAGGCACATATTCTGCAAGAACAAGGTATGATTTGGAACTATTCGTCCACTGCTGGTACAGTGTAATATACTAATATTTTAAATATGGTTATGATAATTCATCATTTATTAACTGTGAGCAGGGTTGTGGGAAGCTACCTTACTAAGATATTCCTGAGTAAAAGAAAACACGAAAAACAAGTGCTGAACTTGTCACAGTTGTTGGCTAGAAAAACAAAAAGAGAGAGCTCGAGGCTATTCTATGAGATGCTGGTAGAACTTTTTTGTTAACCTCCTGAAATAATTTTTTAGAAAGTGTGTCAATGTCAAAACACAATAAATTATTGTGCTTTTAATTTGAGACATGATGAGCATGTAATTGATGTGGTATAATAAATTGATATGGGTTTTACAGGTATTGAAAACGCAAGGCTGCATAGATGTGGAGCAGGAGAAACCATATGGCGATATTCTTGTGCGGGAGACTTGTAAACTGAAGCAGGCTTCTCAAGCTTAAATATAAAAGTAGAGCGTCTTGACATGATGAAGGCTGTTTATAGAGTTAGTATAGTTGCATCTGATGTAGTTGTGACTTGTGAGCACTAACAGAACAACTACAGTTAAGAGTGTTTGCTGTAATTATTCAGTGGTCATTGCATGAATGAGCTTTTCTGGATTTTGTCAGCTGTTAAAAAACAAGCTACAGTTAGAGTGTTGACTGAAATTATTCAGGGGTGATTACATGAATGAGCTTTCTTCTATCGGCTTTAAACGAAATGAGCCGCTTGTGAACTCAACTCGTCGACTTCAGCTCAACTCATTTATTAAGCAAGCCGAGTTCGAGCTTGCTTAATGCTTGTTTTGTAAACGAGCCGGGCTCCGCTCAGCTCAGCTCGATAAGGCTTGAAAAGAGAATTTTTATATAATTTTTTATAGTTAAGCTCATTAAAACTTGAGATTTGCTTAAACTTAGCTCGTTAATGTTGATAAATGGGCCGAACTTGAGCTCAATTTTTGACTCGTTTACTTAAGGAGCCAAGCCGGGCTCGGCTCGTTAAGGGCTGCCCTAGTCAGCATTAGATAAATGTGGTGATGGATGCTTCTAAAAATACAGCTGACAGACCAATTGCAGAAAAACTCACTTGGATCTCTGCTCAAGTTTTAAAGAAAAATGGACACTCATAAAGTTATTACATACCTCACGCACATTATAAATGTGTGAGATGTTCTTTTCATATGACATATTAAAAACTCATGTTCCTCGCCGCACAAACTTCTGAATCTGCTAGCAGATATAATGCACCAACAAAATATATCACTCCATCAGATACAACATGATTTATCAGTCACTCGAAGATCCATCATCATCACCATCTTCATGGTCCTTCACAGCCCTCTCCACAAACTTCTTCCTGACTCCAGCAAGTACGGCATCTCTGGATTGCTCTCCCCCTTGCCCATCATTTAGGACAGGGTCTAACTGACAAAGAACCAAAGCAACACCTAAAAAGATCCAAACATATACAATTTCATTAACACTCTCAATCGATAATCAAGATTCACTTGATAGTACTCGAACAAAACAGAGCTAAAATAAAGTGTAGTGCGCCCATGTAAAGAACACGTTGCGGAGAACACATAACAGAAGCTCATAAGTCATAAGCTATGGTGAACAATCAGTTTCTAACTCTAGTTTTTCCTGGGTCTTCAAACATATATTTAACGTTGTTCTATACATATAGACCTCTTCATGCATTTTGCATATATTTCATGTGGATCAACCTGTTCAAACTTCCGCCCTGTCCTCCCCCATTTTTGCCCTGACTGGTTTATCAAATCTAAAAATGGGCACATGAACCATCAGTATAAAATCCAGCATCCAAGATAGATTGATTGTTCAATAGATATCTCAAATTTCTCAAGGGGAATACATGAGAAGTACTCAGTAACTCATGCCACTAGAAACTATATTTGTTCAAGACAAGACAGCTCAAGATCTAAAGAGCACATAAAGAAGGAGTGATGAATGACATACTTCCCGGGTTATTATAATTTATAACAATTACTTGTGCAAGAAAAGATGACTCAGAATCTCAAAAGCACGTACAGAGGAAGAGACAAAAACGACATACTCTCGGGGGTGCACCTACGACCAAAACTCTGTATCCCCACATGAGTTGCCTTCACAGCACCATTGTAATACACCAATATAGTAGGAAGATTACGATCGGGATAGTTTGGAATACATTCTGTAGATATTATTTTGACAAACTTTGTCGCGTGGTATCTTTTAGACAAATCTTCTAAACATTGCAATAGCAGCCTACACTCTGGGTAACTGTGAATATAAGGAATCACTGAACCGAACCTTGCGATCTTGGCTGATTCTCTAATTTCAGCCAGCCTCTTCTTCCTATCAAAATCAAATGGATATAAACATCATCAGCAATCATGATCTCAATTCGAAAGTTGGCACTACCTACAGCTATTTTCCATCCTTTATCGTCATGAAACTGAGAAAAGGCAGGTTCTTTAGTTTGAGAAATCGGTCATTAAGACTGTTACTGAAGTAATGAAAGATCAGTCTCAAATAAAAAACCATTTATTTCACCCATATCAAAAAAAATTAGCTGCCATTGGTGAGCCCATATCTCAAAAACAAGTAAAACAAAGATCCTGCTGATGCTGATCCAATCAGCAGGCTAACAACAAATGCATATCAATTCTTTGTAAAACAATCTTGCAAAAATCCAAGGCTAGTCATTTCCTATGCTTCAACAATCGAATTTGGAATCAATATTAAGTACCTGTATTCTTCAAGGAATCGATCGTCGTCGAGATCATCTTCGAGATCTTGCAGCTCTTCCTCGGTCTTCTCGTCGAGCCAATCCTTGCCTTTCGGTTTCGAATCTTCATCTTCAGCGGGCGCGAAAGGGGCCGGCTTGAACGGCGCCGGCTTCGGAGGCAGATTTCCGAGTTTCCTCTGAATATCATCCCACTGCGTCGAAGCTCCTTCCAAATCCTTGTACACGAAATGGTAATCCGCCATTGCTGTGAATTTGGGCAGAACGGGTTCCTATTGCTGATGTTTTTATGTTATCATTCTAATGAATGAATTTTTAATCATAAATTATTTTCTATTTGAACTAGTGCGTGGCCCGTTGATGCACGGAAAAATAATATTATGATTGTATTATAAATTAAATATATATATAACATTAATCATAATTTATTCATTGTTTTTGAATACCGGGTTGGACACAGTCCGACCGGATGGATCAAGCACTGGTTTATAACCAGTCTAGTTCGCTTTATTAAAATATTTGCTCTCGAATCCGTCAACACCAGTCGATTATTTGAAGTTTGACTACATCACATTCACGTAATAAAATATTTTCAATATAAAATTTATATTTAGGTTCAATAATCAATTTGGTGTGGTCGAACTGTTACATAACATAGTCACTTGGGACCAACCACGTTGTGTCAAATTTTTTTAACTATTTTAAATATCACCTAAAAGTAATACAATCAACCTAGACAGTCCTAATTCAATCACTCGATTGATCCGAAGAAATTTTCTTATTTTCTTTAAATATATTTGATTTTATGAAATAAAAATATTTTATGATTCATATAATAAATGTCTACACCAAATGATAGTATATTAAGATTATAAATTATATATCTAAAGATGAATTAATTATTTTTACTTTATGCATATTAGTAAAAAATAAACATAGTAATTTAAAAAAAAAATAGAATTAATTGATTGATTATGCAATTTAAAGAATATTTTTTAGTGTTCAATATTTTTCTAAAAGCACAAATATAAAGACCGAGATTCTAAAACTTTTGTTATATTTTGAATTGAGATTTTATAAATATGAAGACTAAGATTTTAATGTTGCTCATTGTTTCTAAGAAAAAAATAAAAATAAAAACATATGCACTTAATAAATCTTAGCCTTATTTTTTAAATAATGACATGAACTAAAGCCCAAAATTTAAAGTAACATTTAATGTTATATGATTTTTAAGGAAAAAAATAAAAAAAATAATAAAACTTACTATTTATAGGCTGCATTTAATTTTGACCTATTCTTTTGCTACTATTTTTGGTAAATAGTAATTCTTATTATATATAGATAGATTGTAGATATGAAATGAACTTTGTGGGTTATTTCCTAAAAAATCCCTAATGCACATTTCAAATTCCTCCTCAGTCCCCACCACTTTAAAACTTCCTCTCAACTCCCTAATACAAATTTATCTTTCCTCTCAACTCCCCATATAAATACTATTTCTATTATTATTGATTTATTTTACCTGATAATAAATTAATCTCTCTCTCCACTCTCGTTCTTCGTCGTCTCTTTCTTCGCATCTACTCTCTTCGCCGTCTCATTCCTCTTTCCTCAAAATCGTTCGTCGTTCGCCGTCTCATTCCTCTCCCCCAATTTTCTCGTCGCCGTCGTCTCTCTCTCTCTCTCTTTTTTTCCCGTTGCCTTCGTCTCTCCTTTGTCTCAATCGCCGTTCGTATCTCTCCGGCGGGAAGAAATGGCCGGCTCGAAAAAGAAATCTCCGCACAAACCGTCCTCCTCCTCGACACCCGCCAATGCATTAACAAAGGTAATTTCTGATTTTTGGGGATTTTTTCCTAATTTTAGGGCTTATTTCAATTTTGGGGCTTTTTTTAATTTAGGGCTTTGGACTGAAAATAACAGTTGGATCGCGATATTGAAACAATGAAATCACTATCGAACATTGGCATCATTCACTTGGTGTGTTACCACTATTCACTGTTTATTCATTATCCGCCAATTGTGTTTTGAATGAAATTCAGTAGGAGCTAGCAATTTCTGGTTGATTCATGAAGCTAAAGTTTAACTATGTACACCATATAATGGTATAATTTGAATCATTTTCTTTATTTTGTATTATGTAGTATGTTATTATTGTTTAACATGATTTTGTTCATCCGTGACTTAAGATTTATAGACCTCAAGGTTTTCTATTTGGTTATATACTCAAAGAGATGAATTTAATATAAATGTTATATATAGCTGTGATGAGATTGTTTTTAAAGATAATTTGAAACCTAATGTTATAGAACTGCTATACTCTGGTTTTGGCATCTAACCTTGGATATGCTTTATTTTCATTAATCTCAATATAACTCCTTATGTTTTTTTCTCAATATAACTCCTTATATTTTCATCTAACCTAATGTTATAGAACTGCTATACTCAGGTTCTTAAGAACATTGGCATTGATTATCCTGATCTAGAAACTTTGGAGAGTTATGAATTTCAGTTTATCCGCTTTAATGTATTATTTATTTGCTTAATTATTTAAATTTGTTGCAGCTTGATCATCTGTTAAACCCACCGGACGGAATTCTGGGTTCCCGTTATTAGGGACGTTAGCCTCCTTCTCGTCTTCCTCTCAGCCGAAGAAGCTGGTACTTTACTCAAAGCCCGGATGTTGTTTGTGTGATGGCCTCAAAGAGAAACTTGACACGGTTTTTTCTTCTTCCGGCTCGAATTACGTTGGCGACGTCCAGTTGGAGGTCCAATCGGTTTAACTTGCTCTCATGTGTTTTAATTTAATCAGTTTATTCAATTTTTGACTGCGGATATTATTGGATGATTTCTGATAAAATGTTAAGCTTGGGACTGATTTTATTATCATTTTTGTGTTGTTTTGAACAGTTTGAAGTTCTTTTGGCCAAAAAATTATGCCCTTCAAGTTTTTAATGTAATATTGATATATATCACAAGTCACAGGCAGTGTGTTTTGTTTTGCAAAAATGTTTTATTTGAAGTTAATGGACTTGAAGTCTAACTGTTTGGGTGTTTTAATGAACTGCTTTTATTGTCCAAATTGGATTAATTTTTTTCATTTGTTATCAACTTTCTCATGACCCTTTCCATTTTATTCTGTATTCTATGAGTGATCCAGTGATGCAAATTGATCTGTTATGATGCATTGTCTTTGTACATGTATTTTGGTCTCTGGTACAAATGAATTTCTGAGTTTAAATTATAATAGGGCCTTTCTGTGTAATTGAATTTCTTAGTAATTAGGGCCTTTCTCTGTAATTAGGACCAATTGTGAATTTCTCAGTGATTATAGTACTATTGTCTTGTACATCATGGTTTTCTTTTTTATCTGTGTAATCGAATTTCTGTGAAGATGTTTTTTTTTCTTTGTTTAGTTTGAAAATTCTCTTTGTTTTATATTTTGTGATAGGGCACCAAATTTAGAAGTCGATGAGCCACCTTCTTACTTTAAGGATGTGATGGACCGAACTCTTGTTTTGTCTGATAAACATAAGCAGGCTATTCAACTGAGCCCTTTTTATTTTAACTTTTTGGTTAATATGCATCCTTGTTGACAGGTGGTTTGGCTGGTGTTTGCTATTTGTTTAAATTGGATATTTTGGTTTGTAGTCTGAGGGTTTGACTTTGATGGTTTGATGCCTGATTGTGGACAAAGTGGATGATGGTGTGATATTGTGGATGATGGTTTGTGGATTTGGACAAGTAGTCTGATAGTTTGATTGTTGGATGGATGATTGTAATTTTATGGATGATGGTTTGTGGACAATGTAGTTTAATGGATGATGTTTTGGATTTTTTTGATTTGATTCCTAATGATACCTATTTTTTTAATATTAATACCGCATTTTTGGTGTAAAAGTACTCATTTGCCAGTAGTTAGTACTCAGTTAAGGATGTGGTGCTTTTAAACTGATACCAGTTTCTATTCGTAGTAGTACCTATTTTCTTCACATTAGTACCAATTTTGTATTATTATAGTACCGGATATTGGCTCATCAGTACCACTTGTAACGAACACATAAAAACATCGAATTTCGGTCTCAAATGATGTTTACATGACAAATAATCACTCTCACACTAGTTTGTATAAGATTTATAACGTGTTTAATTAAGTTTAATCAAAAATTGATCACGAACTCAACATACTAATGAAAAAATAGTACCAACACTTCACCTCATTAAAATGGTACTTGTTTTGGGAACAATAGTACCGCTTCTTCTTGTACGCAGTACCTGTTTTTTATCAATTAGTACCGACTTGGTTTCAACGAAAATCCCTTGTTCGATTGTGGTCAACATAGTTCATCTCATTAAAACTGTACCAGTTTTGGGAAACAAAGTACCACATCTTATTTTGCGTGGTACCTGATTTTGATCTATTAGTACCTACTTTTTTGAAGAAAAATTGATTATTTCAATTCTGCTCAATATTTACAAAAGGTAGTACCAGTCATAGTGTAAGTCAGTACCATCTTATGGCGAGTTAGTACCAGATATCCTGTCCCTAGTACCACTTGTAATGAACACATAAGAATACCAAATTTCAGTCGCAAATGATGTTTATACGACCCATGACCACTCTGACATTAGTTTATATAAGATTTTAAATGTTTTTGATTGAGTTTAATCGCAAATTGGTCATGCACTCGATACACTAATGAGAAAACACTACTACTAGACTTCATTTCGTTGAATGCTTCACTTCATCTCATAGAAATCATCATACATGATCACTCCAAATTCTACCTATATGTTTTCAATTCAACTTTTTTTCATCCAAATCACGTGTGAACGATCCACGTGTCATGGTAGACATGAAGGATTAGAGAAATCGCGATTTTGATAATAGTACCGATTTTGGACAACATAGTACCGCATCTTATTCTGCGTGGTACTTGGTTTTGATCGATTAGTACCTACTTTTTTGAAGAAAAATTGATTATTGCAATTCTGCTCAACATTTAGAAAAGGTATTACCAGTCATAGTATAAGTCAGTACCACATTATGGCGAGTTAGTACTAGATATCCTGTCCCTAGTACCACTTGTAATGAACACATAAGAAGACCGAATTTCGGTCGCAAATGATGTTTATACGACCCATGACCACTCTGACATTAGTTTATATAAGATTTTGAATGTTTTTTATTAAGTTTAATCGCAAATTGGTCATGAACTCGATACACTAATGAGAAAACACAACT